AAAAAAATAAATATTGAATTTATTGTAATTTGAATGATAATAAAATCAATTAAATAAATTTTAATATAATTAAATGTGACAATTAAAATTCATAATATGAAGGAAAAACATGAAAAAAAACCCTAAACTTGATTGAAGAGACAAATATAAGATTATATATTTGGTTTCTTCAAACAAAAAAATTAAAACAAAAGTTAAATATTTTTTTGATCACTTTAGGAAAAAATTCATTTTCAGTTTTTGTATTGAAAATTTTTTTTCTTAAAATTTAAAATTTAACTTTTTTTTATCCATCAATTAAATTTTAATTAATATAAGACATTAACTAAAAAAAATTTACTTAAATTACGTTGAATAAATTCATTTGGTAATAATTAGTAACATGACAAAATTTTTTTTTGTATAATATAATTTTAAAAATTATTTAATTACATAATTATTATCATAATTACTTTAAAGATTGTTTTTTGAGTAAGAGTACTTTTTTTGATTACTTATTTGCCTTTATCTTCTTCCCCCTTTTGTTTTATCCTCCCTTTCCTCCGGCCACGATGACATGAAATTAATCGCCGACCAAAACAACAGGAGACCAACATGAACAATTACTAAATTAAGCAATGCAAAATCTTCTTCTAAATATCTCACCTGCAAAATCTTCTTCTGAATATCTCACTTGTTCTTCGTGAGATTAATAACGCGTAAAGCAGAGATTCAACTCCTTCCAGTATAACAATTTGAGTCTTAAAATTTCAAAGAAAAGTTATATTAGACAAAAGATTGGAACATTTAAGATTTGGATTTCTACGTTGAACACATTGAAACATGAAATCGAGTAGTTCATAGCGAGATTACTAACTCGTAAAGAAGAGATTCAAGTCCAAGTATAACAAATTAACATTTTGCTTATTTTCGAACAAAAGTTGAATTAGATTCAAGATTAGAGCACTTCCATTGCAGATTCAAAACTGAGAAAACCCAAACCAGACATCAAATCAAGAACAACCAAGACTGGAAAATTAATTCTTCTAGATTTTAACTAAATTGATTGAAAAAATTGTACATGGAACCCAGATCTGCATTCCAGGGGGCATCCAGTTTCTGGGTTCCCGTGGAACCCAGAAACTGGGTTGCACGAGGAACCCAAAAACTGGGTTCCCGGGGAACCCAGAAACTGGATTCCCCATGCAACCCAGAAACTGGGTTCCACAGGGAATCTAGTTCTCGGGGAATCCAGTTTCTGGGTTCTCGAAGAACCCAGATCTAGGTTCCACCAAGAACCCAGGAAAGTTTAATTTGAAGAGGGATGATGAAGATGATGGTGAGTAGGATGCCAAGGATGAGGAGGAGGAAGAGGAGGAGGAGGAGGAAGAGGCTGATAAGAATGAGAAGAAAGAACGAATAAGATGAGTGATTAAAATTAATTTCATTTAATTTATGAATTAAAAAATAAAATTTTTAATTTATCATACGTCACCTTTAATATTCCACTATTATTTTTTTTATAGCAATTATCTATAGCAAGGTGAGTCTTGTCGGTGAAAAAGATTTTCACCGACAAGGCTCATCTCGCTGATGTTCAATTCCCTCAAAAAAAAAAAA